GTGCTCACAGCTGTCCTGGGTGTGGATACCACGAGCGAGCCAGGGCCTTACACTGTCTCTTCCCTCCTAGGATGAATGCCAGACACCCCAGCGGTCCCGGGTTCGAGGGGTGACCAGTTACGACAGCGGCATCGCTAGCCTCTCTGCCAACAGCTGCAGTGCCACCCGGCTGGACGGTGAGTGAGGGCAGCCCTAGTGACGCACTGTGTCCCCTCGGTAAAAGACCTCACCCCCATTTTCTGTGAGGGGACCCCCCTCCTGAAGGCACCTAGGGCCCAGGTTAGGGGGATATGGGCACCCTCGTTTAGACGTGCCTCTTAGTTTGGGAGCCGGTAGTGGGAGCTTGTGTCATTCTGATTCTTGTACAAGTCTCTTGCAGCTCAATGTCCCCAGTGCTCAAACTGGGCAAAGAGCGCCACCTACTGTTCCACTGACTGACCTGGTGCTCCTCTGAGGTCTCCCCCACCTTCCCAGCACTGACCAGAGCAGACCGATACCCACCTTCTCAGTGTCTTCTAGCCCACTAGGGAAACGGCACCACCCTTAATTCTGCAGGCAGCAGCTCCTCATGTCAGATGGCCCTTTCCACACTTACTGACTCTTTCCTCTCTCCAGAGCCGGACAGCGTCTGTCTGGACTTCGACGGCCTGTCCCTGGACAGCAGCGCCGGTGCCGAGGGCGTGCGCTACTCCATCTGGGTCTCCTTCTTCGAGATCTACAACGAGTTCCTGTACGACCTGCTCAACACGCCGCCCGGCCAGCTCCGCAAGAGGGCCACCCTGAGGCTGTGCGACGACCGCCACGGGAACCCCTACGTCAAGGGTGCGGGGGCGCTGAGCAGCACTGACAGCTGGGATCTGGGGGGGGCAGGCAGCAAGCTGGTCCTGGTGGGGGCAGGAAAGGCCCTCCCTGCGTCAGTCTGAGGGTGCCGCAGTTACGGGGGTGAGGGTGGATGTACAGTTTGGGGGGGCAGGGCGAAGGAAGAGGTGGCGTTTCGTAAAGAGGGAGCTTGCAAGAGGAGCGCAGAAGGTGGAGGGCGAGGGATCAGGGCTCTGCTGAAGAGCCGCTGCTGGAAAAGTAGAGGGAATCTGTTTAGGACGGAGAGGAGGAAGAGCCTCTGTACCCAGAGAGCTGCGGGTGTCTGGAACAGCCATCGCAGTCAGGCTGTTGAGGCCTAACCACTGAGTTCCAGGAAGAGCCTGGCTGAAATGAAGCTACGATTTGTCGATAAACTGCCAGATGGGCTGAATGGCCTGCTGCCTTTTGAGGTCTTTGTGTTTTTCGATGCCCAGAGTGGCCAGCCTGTGTGTCTGTGTTGACTGTATACGGAGCCAGCGTGGCAGATGGGAGGCTGCTCCTGATTGGTGGATGGTCACCGTGCCGGCGCTCTGATTGGCTCTCTGTCCGTGTGTCTCAGACCTGACCTGGGTGAACGTGCGCAGCGCGGAGGAGGCGTGGCGCGTGCTGCAGGTCGGCCGCAGGAACCAGAGCTTCGCCAGCACCCACCTGAACCAGACCTCCAGCCGCAGGTACTGGGGCCCGGCCCGGTCTTGTGGGGGAGGGGGAGAAAGAGGCTGTTCGGTCCGGTCCGGTCCAGTCCGGGGGGGGTGGGCTCAGCTCGGCCCAGTCTGGTCCGGTGTGGGGGAGGGGAGTAGGGGAGCTGGCCCGATCCAGTCCAGTGTTCGGTGGGGGGGGAGTTTTAGACTGCGCAGCACCTGGCCTCTCTCGCTGACTGTCTGTCCCTCTGCAGTCACAGCATCTTCTCTATCCGAATCCTGCACATCAACCCGGACGCCCCGGATGGACAGGGAGCGCGGATCAGCGAGTGAGTGTCGCTCCGCTCTTGCGATCGCGGCTGGTGTCGCCGCACTCTGCCAGCCCGCCCTGTCACGCCCTGCCCTGTCCCACACTGCTGCCCTGACCTGACCTGTCCTGCCCTGATCTGTCCCACACTCCCACCCCACCCTGACCTGTCCCGCTCTGTCCCCAGGCTGTCCCTGTGTGACCTGGCGGGGTCGGAGCGCTGTAAGGAGCAGCGCTGTGGGGAGAGGATGAAGGAGGCCAACAACATCAACACCTCCCTGCACACGCTGGGGCGCTGCATCGCCGCCCTGCGGCACAACCAGGCCCACAGGTACCCCTCTCTCCTGTCCCTCCTCCTCCTCCTCCTCTCTATTCAGTTCAATCCAAGGTGCTTTATTGGCATGACTGATGAGCACAATCACTGTTGCCAAAGCAAAACAAATACAATTGACATAAAAAAATCTACTGTCCTCTCTGGACAGTCAGGTCTGTCTGTGTCCAGTTTCTATGGCCAGGCTGTGGTCACTGAGCCTGTCCTCTCTGGACAGTCAG